CGGCTCTCCAGGCCCTCGAGTGTGTGCACGTCTGGTTGCTGGACTTGTCCCCAGCCCCCTGGTGCTCCTGGCGCGTTCCGAGCTCTCTGTCTTTTCGGTGCTCTTTCTGGCCTTGGTCCCTGTCCTCACGTTCAGTGGCATTTCCTGGCCTGTCGTCTGCGGCGGGTCCCCGGGCCTCTTCTGGTCACCATCGGCCCAGTGGCCAGGGTGAGGCCTTCCCTCGACTGCAGCGTCGCCCCGAACTCTGCACCGGACTGGCTGGTGCCGGTCCCGCCAGGCAGCGGCGGCTCCTCCCGGGGCCCTGCCGCCGGCCCTCTCCAGGCCCGCGCTCTGGGGCGGCTCGGCTCTCGCTCCCCGGAGACCGCGAGAGCTGCCACTGTTCTCCCGACCTGGTCCTGTCGGCGGAGGGCGTCCAGAGACCGCGGTTGGGCACACACGCTGCTGCAGCTCCAGGGTCATGCGTGGGATCCACGGTCATGGGCTGTTTCCGTCCGTCCATCCCTCTGGTCAGCTGCTCTGTGCTCCTGTGCGCCTCCCTCCCCGCTGCAGCCTTGCCCGGGAGGCCCGTGTGCCCCAGCCCTGCCCCGTCCCCAGTCCCTGGCCTGCAGGGGTGGGGATAGGGCGGTTGGCCTCCAGGGACCACCCATCTTAGCTCAGGCCGCTGCGTGCGCCCCTCAGACAGGGTGGCTTGCACCTCAGACACGGCCCGTCCTGGAGGCCGCAGGCCGAGACCCAGGGTCACAGGCCGGCCCCCCCGAGGCCTCTCCTGGGCGTGCAGACGTCGGACCCCTCCCCGTGTCCCCACGCGGTCGCCCTCTGTGCGCGTCTGTGTCCTGACCTTTTCTGACAAGGACCCCAATCCCACTGGGCTGGGACCATGCTGGTGACCGCATTTTACCTTCCTCGCCTCAGTCACGCTCGGAGGCCCGGGGCTCAGACTGTGGTGCCGGAGCTTGGGGACAGCCCCCCTCCAGTGCCCTGTGAGGGGCGAGGCGCCCCTGTCGCCCCCGGGCCTGGGCCCAGCAGCAGCCCACCCAGCGGGGCGGTCCGAGCCCTGGCGTGGCGCGTGGCTCGTGGGGTCAGGCGCGGAAAGGCCCCAGGCGGCCCCGGGGCCCCAGCTGTCCTGAGGGGGCCAGCGGCTGCAGGGAGGGAGATCTGATCATGAGGGTGCACATGTGTGCGCGTATACACGTGTGTCTGGGTGCGTGCACTGTGCACGCGTGCACTGGCTGCAGCCCCCGCTGGGGGGTCTGTGCCGTCTGCTGAGACCTCCCCGCCCCCATCCCCTCCTGTACGCGCCCCCCACGCGGACAGGGCGGGAGGCCGGAGAGGCCGGGAGCACCGATGTCCGCAGGTCGAGGGATGCGGCGGGGTGGAGAGAGGGGCCCGGGGCTGGGGCTGCTGCAGGTCGGGGGGAGCCGCCCCCCAGCCTCACCTTGGCTGGGGCGGGTGCTGCGCCCCACGGGCCTCCCTGGGGGCCAGGTCAGTCCACCCGCCCGCCCACAGCGCGGGGAGCAGAGAAGTGGCGGCAGGGCTGCGGCTAGTGTGCCACGAGGGCAGATGGGGGTCAGCGCCCACTGCGTCCTGCGGGGGCGCTGGGGGGGGGACCGGGCGGGCCTGTGACAGGCAGGGTCAGCTCAAAGCTCTTGGAGCAGGCTGGGGTCGCGTCTGCTTTGACTTCAGGGGCCGGCCCTGCCTGGCTGAGAGCCCTGGAGCCCCCCTCGCCCCCAGGCCGGGGCCACACCCTGCACGGTCCAGGGAGTCCTGGGCCGTGAGGGGCTCCTCTCTGCACGCGCCGGACCCCGGCCCGCCCCACTTGCTGCTCCCGGGAGGGGTCCCTGAGGCTGAGGCCCGGATGAGGTCTGGGCCCCACGCAGCCAGGTTCCCTGTGGCCTGTGGTGAGTCCTTGCTGCCTCCGCTGGGGTCCGCGTGGCGTGTGGGCAGGGCTGGGGGTCAGCAGGGACAGCCTCTCCCTGCAGGCGCACCTGGCAAGGGCCCTGCGCCCCCGCGGGATCCTCCTGGGGCAAGGGCTGCGTGGTGGGCGACGGGGTTTGACAGCTCTGCCAGGGGAAGGTGACTGGCGGGACCACGCACCTGCTGAGCCCCATCCCGTGGTGCGAGGCCGCAGCCTGGGATGGCTGTCAGGCCCTCGCTGGACCCTGGGCAGGGCTGGCCGGTCTTTGCCGCCCCATCTCCTGGCCCCATGCCTGGCCCAGCCCTTGTTTCCTCTGCCTTCGACCCTCCTCTGGGTGGCTCCCCTTCTACGGCAGCCACAGCCCCGCGAGGGCGGTCCTGGGCGAGGCCTCCCGGGGTGGGGGTGCCATGGGCAGGGGACGGCACCCACACCCAGACCCACGCCTCCCCAGGTACATCCAGACGCTGAAGGAGCACAGACCCCGGATCGTATGGGACAGCCAGGCCGCGGAGCACTTCTTCGAATACAAGAAGTGCGTGTGTGGCCAGCCGGGCTGGGAGCGGGGGCCGTCCCCTCTGCCTCCAGGGGACCCGAGGGGCAGGGGGGGGGGGCCGACACCAGGAGGCCGACGCCCCACTGTCTTTTGCAGAAGCCGAGGAGGGCGGCACGTCATCTTCTACCCGACTCTGAAGGTGCGTGTGGCCCGGCTGTGACACTGCTGCGGGGGCAGCAGGCCGGGCCCCTCCCCACAGGGGCCCTGCCCTCAGGGAGGCGGAGGCGGGCGGGGGGTGGAGCCGGGCCTGGCCTGCCACCCCAGGGCCGGGGGGCTCAGCCCCAGCGCGTCTCGGGGGCGAGGTGGCAGCCAGCGCTTCTCTCTGCCTGCAGTCCATGCAGGTGCGGCTGGAGCTGGCCCGGGAGCTGGGCGTCGGGCTGGCCATCTGGGAGCTGGGCCAGGGCCTGGACTACTTCTACGACCTGCTCTAGGCCCAGTGCTGGGCGGCGCGATCTCGGAGGGACGGGGACCGTGGGCGTGTGAAATACAGGCTTTTCTGTCGCCCTGGCCGTGTCTGCTGCAGTCCTTGGGTGGGGCAGACAGGGCCCGCAACCCCTACCTCCCTGGCAGTGACATGAGGAAGGACCCCCCCAAAACACAGTCCCTGCCCCCCGTGGCCTGTGGTCCAATGAGGGTTGGGGGCTTTGGAGCGGCCCAGGCGCTCAGGGCCTGTGCTGCTGGTGGCGGGGCTGCGCCCACACCCTCCTGTGGACCCTCCTGCCTGGCGCCCACCAGCAGCCAGGGCCCCGCGGCGGGGCGGGGGCCGCTGCGGAGACCCACCCCGGAGGGGCTGGGCCTCCCCTGAGGGGCTGGGCCCTGGGCCTCGCAGGTGGCAGCAGGGGCCCTGAGGGATGGCCGCATGGGGGCCTGGGCCTGCGCCCTTTGGGGCAGCCACGCTTTCGGGGTAGAAAGCTGGGAGGCAGTGGTGAGGGGCCCCTCCCCTCACAGCCCAGGAAGTCCCCTCGGTGGGCGCACCGGCCCCAGGACGGACCTGTCCTCGCGCTCGTCCAGGACACTGCACTCGCTGACCGAGGCCTGCTTTCCAGAAGCACTTGGGGTCCTGAGTCGGGTCCTGCCCCCTTCGCTGTAGGATGTGGAAGCGGGTAGGTGTCTGTCTTTGCGGGTCGGCCTGGCCCTGCCCACTGGTCCCTCACCAGAGCCGCTCACCTGCCAGAGCTGCTGAGAGGACCACACACCCAGTGTGGGCAGGCCAGCCCGGCGAGCACCCCACGTCTGCCAGGCCCTGCGACCCGTCCGCGGCACCCGTACGGAGGCCCCGGGGCTGTCCCTGGCCAGGCCTGAGAGCAGGCCCAGTAGAGCGGCCCACAGGCCCTGGGAGACAGACCGGCCGCCCAGGTCGGGCCTGAATGGCAGGATGGGCGGGGCTGGGGTGGCCCGAGGAGTGTGTGCTGCCACGGTGTGCGTGCGTGTGTACGCGCTGGCATGCACAGTGTCCACATGGGCCCTCTGCCTGCGGGCCAGCAGGTGCTGACCTGCACTTCCCTGAGCTGGCTTGTCCCCAAGGCCCCCGCCCCACCCCGGCTTTGAAGGCCTGGCAGCAGCGGGGGAGGCTGGGGCACAGCGCCAGGTTCTGGTGCGTCTGGAAGTCAGCAGGAGTTGGGGGTCCGCCGTGTGACCAGGGTGTCGGTGGATGTGGAGCCAGGGCAGTGACGGGGCTGGGCGTGCACAGGGGGCCCCTCGGCTTGGGGTTTGGAAAACGGGGACCAGTGAAGGGGACAGGGAGTTGAGTGACGCCCAAGGGCCCCCACACGGGGAGAGGCCGGCCAGGCGCTGCGTGGAGGTGCCACTGCAGGTGGGGCTGCCCGCCAGGGCCTGTCCCAGTGGGACTCCAGTGCCACTCGGACCAGGAGCCAGGGCTGGACACCAGCCCGCACCTGGCATTGATGGCCCCGTGGAGGCTGCGAGTGAAGGGCCCGAGCGTGCGAGTGCGCCCAGGGGCACGCGGGGGTGTGCGTGGGCGCTGGCCGACGGGGACAGCTCTGCCGGATGCAACTGTCCTTGCTTCCGGTCATTTGCGGCTGGTGTGAGGCGGTTCTGTGTACTGTGTCCCAAGACAGCCCCTTCCGCATGAGTGCTGGGTTAGGACCCCGGGGGGAGGGGGGTTGGGGAGCCAGCCCAAGGCAGGAGAGGGCCACAGGAACACGGGCTGGAGAGTGGGGACAGGTGGTCCTGGAGCCTCTGCACTGCACCCCCCGCCCCCTGGACTCACGCAGCAGGGGTTCTGCAGCTGCCAGAGGCTCATGGCCCCACCGGCCCGGGCAGCAGCCGGCCTGAGCCTGTGGGTGTCCAGGCAGTGCGGTCCAGGCGCTAGCCCCGTGCTCGTGGGGGTCCTGTGACCACAGGGATTGGCTGCACCTGGTCCCCCGGGGCAGGTCAGAGCAAGTACAGACTCCGGTGGGGGCTGCCACCCACGCACTTTATTAAGACGCACTGGGAGCCCGCCCTGCCCCACGCGGGATGTGGGCGGTGGGGCTCCGCCCACCCAAGCACCAGGGGCAGCCGAGGGCCCCTCCCCCACCTGTGGGTGGCCCCAGCCCCTTGCCCTGTGCAGGGTCCCGGGAAAACACTGCTCGGGAAGCACATGGGTGTGGAAAGTAAAATGCACCAGAAGCACCGCAGCCTCCGGCCCCCGAGGGTGGCCAGCGCCCCGCCGCGCCCTCCAGGGGGCTCCTCCGAGGCCTGGCCGGGGTCCGGGGGGCTCTGCCGCCTGGCCTGCCCTCCCCCACGCCCAGGCTGGTGCGGGCCTCGGTGGGACCGGCCATCTCGGGGCGGGCAGCGTCCTTTGGCAGTGAGGCACGGGGGCGGGCCACCTACGCGTAGGTGTCAGCCTTCACCACCTGGCAGTACATGGTCATGGCGAAGGTCAGGCCCAGGATCTGTGGGGACACAAGGAGCTGGGCAGATGAGCCACGCGGCCCGGTCCGCGGCCGCTGCCCCCCCCCCCCACTGGGGCCCGTCGCGGCCACACCCCTGAGCCTGGGACAGGGCCTGTCCGCCTCGAGCGTGGGCAGCACACGGTCGCTGGGCTCTGCCCCAGGCCCCCAGCGGCTCGGCCACCCAGGCTCTGCTGGTGGCATCTCCACAGCCCGTCAGCTCCAGGCTGGGTCTTGAGCCACATGTCCCCTTGAGCCACCTGCCTGGGGGGCCCAGCACCCTCCCCTTCGTCCTTCCGTCCCACACCGCTGCGTGTCCATCCGACCTGTCTGAACCCCAGGGACACTCGCGGCCTGATGACCACGTTCACGGACATGGCCTGACCCCCAGCTCCCCAGGTGCTGGGTTCAGGGCCCCCAGGCTAGGAAGCTGGGGCCACCAGCTGGGCCTGGCGGGCAGGGCCCGGGCCACCCGCCACTCCCTTTGGGTGGTCCCGTGACGACCACCTGCCACTGGGGCTGCAGGGACAGGCTGGCCCGTGCGCAGCATCCACGGCAGAGCCGTCCAGGCTGCACCCCCGCCCACTGGGCAAGGAGACTCTCCACGCGGAGCCCACGTGTCCCCGAGGTGTCAAAGGTCACCCGCTCCATGGAGGTGTCCCTGAGCCCCCCCACGAGACCCCCTCAGCCTTGGGACGTGGGCTCCACAGGGGCAGGGCAACGACCGATTTGTTCCCAGGAGCCCGGGGGCCCGTGCAGGTGCCGGGGGACCGGGTGGGGGCCCTGGGCAGGCCCCACCTTCCGTACCTGCACCAGCGCCGTGCACAGCCCGAAGACACCCACGGCCAGCAAGTTCTCCTGGAGCCACATCTTCACCGTCTCATAGCACGGCTGGAGGGAGAGCGGGCGTCACCGGGGCCGGTGTCCACCCGGCCGGGAGGCTGGCCCTCCTCCCCCAGGTCCCGGGGCCCACGCAGCGGGCGGCGGCGCTCACCGCCTTCCACCAGGTGCCGGGCGCGTGCAGCCCGCAGCCCTCGCTGAACTCCAGGCAGCAGGAGTCGGGCACGCGCGTGGCGTTGTAGACCTCGAACCAGTCCGTGTAGTTGGAGACGCCGCAGCAGCGGAACTGCAGGAGGCGCGGGAGGCGGGACGTGCTGAGGGGCGCCGCCTGCCGCCACCAGTCCAGCCCCCCAGCCCCCCACCCTGCGGGGCCACGCCCCGCCCCCACTCACATCAGTCTGGATGATGCTCCAGGCGTTGGTGAGGCCCACGTTGCCCGGGGTGCCGTACAGGTGCAGGCCCTTCTTCAGGTCCAGCTGTGCATACCTGTCGATCTGCAGGTGAGGCGGGGTCAGCAGGGACCCCCCCGGCCGGCCAGGCTCCCTCGCCCAGACCCCTCCTGCCTGCCCTCCGTGCCCCCCTGCCTTTGCCCCCGTGGTCTCCCTGGGCCCCATGGCACTGAGCCCTGGGCCAGTCGGACACGGCAGCCGGGACGCAGCCCGACGCGCAGACACGGGCCCGGCTCCCGGACCGAGAGCTGTGCGGACACGCACACGGCTCCCTGCTGCCCACTGAGGGGCCTCGTAGCTCCAGCACCCCAGGGCAAGCCGCGGACCAGCGCCCGGGTGCCCGAGCCCGTCCTCTGCTGAAGGGCCAGGGCCCCTGGGAGGAGTGGTGGTTCCCGGGAACACCCTGGGGGTGGGGGGGCCTGGGGTGTGTGGTGGCGCCAGAAGAGAAAGGACACGTTCCCTACAACGTGCGGGGGTGGGGCCCGGCCGGGGGTGGGGCCCGGCCGGCGATGCTCCGCGCGCTCGGAGGAGGACGGGCGAGCCAAAGACAGCAGAGTCCCGGGCTGGGCCCGAGGAGCCAGCCCCCTGTGACTCTGGTGGTGTAAACACGCAATGAAACAAGCGACTGGGGGGCGGGTGTCTGGCATGCGAGGGCAGCGGGAGCTCGGGCGGGGGCGGGGGCGGGGGGCAGGCGCACAGCGCCCCTCCCCGGCCCCGGTGCAGGAGGACCCGGCGCCCCCTGCAGGCCTGCCCCCGCGGGCTGCACTCCAATCCACACCCCGGGCCCCGACCCCTGGATGCAACGCAGGGGCCGCGGCCACCCGCTCGGAGCACCTGCCCGGAGACCAGCCGGGCCCTGCCGCGGCCAGTGGGCCGCGGTGGCTGCACCTTGTCGCTGTAGGCGAAGAAGAGGGTCGCGGCAGTGGCCTCCAGCAGGAACACCAGCAGCAGCAGCACGAAGAACTGCAGGGACACGGGAGGGGCAGGGGCCTCAGCAACGTGCCCCCCACTGCCCCAGCCCCCCAGGCCCCAGGGCCTCCCACCTTCGACGGGCTGGGCCACAAAGCCCCAACGTGCTGCCAGCAACCCCGCCAGGCCCCCCACGCGTCCCCCCCCCCCCCATCTTCACGCGTTCCCTCATCTGGCCTTGACCTCGCGGCTCAGGCCCCAGGGCTGTGCGTGCACAGGTGTGCCTGGGTCTGCGGGGGCCGACGGGCAGAGTGCTGGCCCAGGACGCCTGGGGACAGGGGTGGCGGGAACCCCCACGCCCCGCCACACCCTTCAGGGAAGCCTGGGGTGGCTGGTGCCGGCTCAGGCAGGACCACGCTGCAGGGGTCCCCAGGGGAGCACACCCAGACCCCGGGCAGCGCGCAGCTGAGGCAGCAGCAGCCCGGACCCGCCCAGCCTTTCCTCCGGGGCCACTGCCCAAGGAGGGTGGGCAGCCGGGGATGTGCCCAGGGCCAACAACGGGGAGGCAGGCCCCCAAAATGTTTTCCCCGCAGCCTGGGCCAGGACTCGGGGCCCACCCAGGGGAAAGCCTGGGGCCGGGCCCCATACGCACGGCAGCTTCCACCTCGATCTGCGGGGTCTCCCCCCAGCAGGGCTGAGGCGAACCCAGCTGCACCGCCACCCACACGCTGCTCCAAGGGCCCGAGCCCCAAGCCCTGAAGGGAGCCTCTGGAGCACGTGCGACACCCGGGGAAGCTGCACAGATGGGGGACGCGTCCTCCGAACCCCTGGGGCCCCCCAACGAGGGCACCCTGTGCGGAGGGCCTGTGTGAGGCAGGGGGTGCAGGGCTGGGCCGCCGCCGCCGCGTGTTACCAGCAGGGTCCGGGGGCCTGCCCCTCCCGACCCGTCTGCGGCTGGTGTTCCCGGGGCGACAGGCACATCTCCCCCCTGAGCCCGCCTCCAGGGCCCGGGTCGGGCCAGGTGTCTCATCAAAGGGTCCCGGGCCCAGGAGCTGGTGTCGGGGGTCCTGAGAGGGGCAGTCGCGGGGAAGACGGGCCCGGACAGGCTGCGCACGCCCCGCCTGGGCGCACGTCCTCCACGGGTCTGCCCGTGGCGGTCCCCGTCCTGTCGAGGGCAGCCCCCAAGCTCCGGCAGCATCTCCGCGCGCGGCCCCGGCCCCCCGTGCCCACAGCCCCACTCACGGTGAGCAGCAAGCACTTGTTCTCCTTGATGGCCCCGATGCAGCCCACGAAGCCGATGGCCATGACGAAGGTGCCGGTGACGATGAGCAGGTTGGCGGCCGACAGCGACGGGAAGGAGGAGGACAGGGTGGCGAAGTTCCCCTGCGTGGCGGCCAGCCAGATGCCGACTCCCAGGATGCCGCAGCCGCCCAGCTGGGACCGCGGGACGCGGGGGGGGGGGCGGCAGTGAGGCCACAGCCCGGGCGCCCACCCCGTCTGGTCCCGACACCCCCGAGCCGCAGCCACAGAGGCCCCACAGCAGGGCCTCATGCCCGCGGCTTGGCTATGCTGTGGTTGGCAGGGCGGGGTGGTCCGTGGACAGTATCGTATTGAGGCAGCCTGGGCCGGGGGCCCCAGGACTCCCCCTGAATGCCGCCCACGGAGAGGCGTCCCCCGCCACCTCCAGACCATGGCCTGCGCCTGCCCATCTCCCTGGCGGCCCAGAGAAACCCCCTTCGAGGCTCCACAGCGGCCCAGACACGTGCTCGTCCTGAAGTCTGGCTTCCCAGCGGGCGGCCCCACATGGCCGCCATCTCCTGGGTCCCTCTGGGCATCCCCAGCTGCCCCCTGATAAGCGCAAGCCCCAGAGCACCGCCCGGGCCCCTGAGGACTGGCAGGCGGGGAGCAGGGTGCCCACTCCTGGGCCTTGCTGCCCCCGCCCACTGGAGCTCTTATCGAGTTTCATAATTGCTCATTGTCACAAAAATTGAAGTCGGAGGAAGAAGGGGAGAAGGCAAGGCGGTGACGCACCCAGAGAGGGCCCTAGGCCTTGCTTGGTGCCGGGGATGCCCTGCGAGGGGGCTGCGTCTCCGCCTTCAGACACGGGGCCCCGGGCTCTGGGCTGGCTCCACCTGGAGGCCCCGCTGCCGGCTGCCGGCTGCGGGCGGGTAGGCAGCCCCGGGGGCCCGCCCACTCTAGGCTCCTGGCCCTCTGGCCTTGGCCCACCGGGCAGTCCCGGCCACCACAGCCACCCCTCGGAGTGCCCACCCTGCACACCCACAACAGGCCGCCACCAAACCCCACAGGACACAGCACTCCCCAGGGCCCCCACAAGCCCCGCATCCTCCCATAAGCCCCCCGAGCCTCAACAGCGAGACTCACCGCCTGAGGCCGGGGGACGACGGCCCGGGCAGCCAGCCCTGAGGAGGCGGCCACCCCTACCCCGTGCCCCAGGCTTGGCGCCTCAGCCCTGACAGGGACCCCCCACTCAGGCAGGCCCTGCAGCCCTGAGCCCCTGCCCAAGGAGGGCCCTCTCCAGCAGCAGCAGCAGCAGCAGCGGGGACGGGCAGTGCAGCCGCGCCCCGGGCTCACTGGGGAGCGCGCGGTGCGTTAAGCCGCCGGCTGGCAGGAGACCACCACTGCAGAGGGGCGGGAGGCAGCTCGGACAGGCCACCCACGGCGGCTGGGGGCCTGCGGCCTCGCCCAGGCTGAGCGGAAGGAGAGCCCCCCAGTGGAGTCCCCACGTGCCAATGGGGTCAGTCAGCCCAGGGGAACCACACCCTCCCCGCAAAACAAGGGCTGTCTAAGAATTACAGACACCTTTTCCGATGCTGCCAGCTCAAGGCGGGGCCAGGCGGCCACCCGGTGCCGGGCACCCTCAGTCGGGGCTCCTCTGTCCCTGGTCCGGGGCCACGGGGCCTGGTGAGGCCCCTCCCCGGACCGGGCAGGGACCGCGGCAGGGGCGGGGGTGCCCAGGCCCTGTGCTTCTGGACACCAGGTTGGGGGAACCCTGGTGCGGGGGCCTGCGGGGATCCCGGGGGAGCCGCCCTGTGAGACAAGGCCTCGGCCTGTGGCCCAGATCAGACCCTGCGAGGCCTGGCGCAGCGTCCAGCGCCGAGACTGGGGGCGGGGGCGGGGGGCGGCTGCCCAGGCGGGAGATCCAGGGCACTCGGGTGGGACGCATCACCTGCTGTCTGTGCCCCACACTCGGCAGCGGTTCCTGACCCGGCCACGCGCCCCGGCCACGCACACACCGCTCCCCTGGGCCGTCCTTCCCCAGGGTCCGGTGTGGGCACAGACCCGGGGCCCGGGGTGTGCTGGCTGCAGCAGGACCCCAGCCGCGAGGCGGGGCCGGGCACAGCGCTGACCGCAGCAAGGCCCCGGAGCGCGGGCCATGGGGCCTCTGGGCACCCCGCGCCTGCCTTCGTCACTGGTGACGTCACGGGGCACAGGGGAGGCAGGGACGGCACTGGCTCGCTGAAGTCTCCCACCCGCCGCCCCGGCTGTGCCCCCGCCAGTCCCCCGTGCCCGTCAGGACACCCGGCACCCCCTCCCACAGCATCTGGGTCTTGCGGGACGTCCACACACCCCAGCGGACGCCTGCAGCGGGGCCACCCACGGGGGCACTGTGTGCAGACACCACGGCGCAGACCCGCGCTGGGACGCAGAGGGCGGCCGCCACCCTGGAGGAAACTGGAGGTCAGGCCGACTCTGGCCAAGGGACACCATGGCCCACTGGGTCCGGCTGACCCCAGACCCCTTTCCAGGTTCACAGCTGTGGGCGTCAGAGGGTCACAGTTCGGGGCTGAGCCCCATGGCCGAGCCACGATGGGTGGGGCTGCAGTTGGAGCAGGTTCCCAAGCAGAGGGCTGGTGCCGGGGCTTTTAAAACCCAGCCAGGCCCCGGCCAGTGGGGCTCAGTGGATTGAGGGCCGGCCTGCAAACCAAGGGGTCACCAGCTTCATTCCCAGTCAGGGCACAGGCCTGGGGCGCAGGCCAGGTCCCCAGCAGGGGCGCGTGAGCAGCAACCCCCCCTGGATGTTTCTCTCCCTCCCTTCCCCTGTCTGAAAATAAATAAAATCTTTTAAAAAGTAAAGCCCAAACTGCCTGCACTCTGCCTCCAAAGGCGCAGGGCAGCCCTTGTCGGCAGGAGAAACGAGACCACACTGCCCAGCGGGGACGTGTGCACCGGTGCCTGGGGGACGCGACCGGGCGGGCGGCGCGGCTCCGAGTGCGCAGGACAGGCCCCACGGCCGCCCCCGGGGACGCGTGCTTCCCTGTCAGCGCTCCACAGGAGGCGCTCGCCAAGCCCCGCCCCCGCCCGAGACGGCAGGAGAGACGCCCGCGGGCCGTCACCCAGACCCAGAGGGCGGCCATCACCCAGCGCGACACAGACACGCCGCCCCGCTGTCCTGGATGCCCCGTGATCGCACGCTGCCCCGCACAGCAACGCACACGCCCCGCGCGTCGACGGCAGGCTGCCTGCGGCGGCGTCCCCGCAGGCCCCCGCACTCCGCCCGCTTGCACCGGACGGGCACCGGACGCGCACTAACAGGACACGCACGTGCCCAACACCATTACCTGTGATTTTGGAATGTGTCTGCGTGTGCAGCTTCTAAAACATTTTGGCAGGAAAATTACAGCGTCCGAGTGCGGGAGAAAACCGGCCCCGTTACACGCAGACACACAGGCTCCAGTGCCGGGCGCCCGGGGCCGAGGTCCCCCCCGGGCGGGGAGCTCCGGGCCCGCCCAGGCCCAGCGGGCCACACAGCGCAGCTGGGGACCCAGGACCCCACACCCGCCCAGCCAGGCAGAAGCCAGGTGGGCCCTGGCACAGGCCCCGGCCCCTCACAGCCCGGGAGAGGAGGGTCCACCCGCAGGGACCCCGCCCCAGCCCTGCCGTCCACTGGGGCCTCCCCCTCCCCCAGCCCCGGCCGCAGGCCCTGCCTTGGCTTTCCTTGTCCTCGCACTTTTCAGGCTGGCCTGGGGCATGGTCGCTGATGACGTCACCTCCGTCCCACAGCGTGGCCGGTGCCAGCGGGCCCTCTGCCGCTGCCCCTCCAGCCACACGGCTCCGCGCGGCAGATGGCCGGGCGGCTGGCCATGTCCTTGGAATGGGGTGGAGGGCCGGGCGCCTGCGGGGGCCCAGCCTGCGCCCAGAAGCCCCTCGCCGGTCTGCTGGCACAGCCGCGGGGTGGGGGCTGGGCACGGAGGGAGGGCTCCATCTACCCGCAGTTCGGGAACACGCTTCCCTGCTGTGCCGAAATCTGGTCTGCGGCGCCCAAGCTGGGGCGGGGGGCCGAGTCAGGGCCCGGGGCTGCCTTCGGACCAACGGCAACGTCCCCCACCCTGGCCATACCTTGTTACCTGGGGCAGCTCCCCGCCATCCGCTTAAAACTTACGCTATTAATTTTCTTCAACGCCAGGAGCCCCCTGTGCTCGTTGGTCCTCTCTCTCACCCCTGACCTGGGAGCCCCGAGGTACCCCCAGGACTCAGCCCTGGCCCGTCTGAGAGACGGCCCCACTGACCGAGGGCCCGAGGCCAGCATCCAAGGAGGGGTGGGGTGCAAGGGGCCTGCCGGGTGGAGACGAGGACCCGGGCAGGGCTGCCTGGGGTGGAGAGGGAGGGGAGGCAGCCGGGCCCGGCCCCAAAGGGCAGCACCTCGCCCCCTCAGTCCTCAGGACGGCCACAGAGGACGGGCCGAGCCCAGGGTGGTCCCGCAGGCCAGAGGCGGGACCGCGGCCAAGGCCTGACCCCTCACAACCTCCTGACCTCTGAGGTCGCCTTAGCAGCCTAGGTCACGTGGCTCTGCCCCAAACAGAGTCCCCACCTGGCCCGCAGCCCACCCCCCACCCCCAATTCATGTCTAGAAGGTCCGATTCCCACAGGGGCCTGGCAGGCCGCCTTCCCTCCCCGACCCCCCCCAGGCAGGATGGACTCCAGGGGCCCTCAGAGCCCCCGCAGAGCCCTTCTCAGTCACGGGCGGCCGCGGGCCTGACACGGCCACCAGGACGCACGGGAGCTGCCGCCACCGCCACCAGAGGCAGAGCCAGAGCCACAGCCAGGCAGGCAGGGCCCCCCGACAGACGGCCACGGCCCCAGCCCGTCGGGCAGCTGCTCCGGCCTCGCTTGTACTCAGAAAACTGTCCCTGCTGTGCCCGCCTGGGGACAGGGGCTCTGCCTGGGGAGGGAGCAGGGGGTGCGGCCACCACAGAGCGTGCCCGCATCCCCCGCCCCAGAGTCCCCGTCTGTCTGCCAGCCCGCGGCGGGCCCCCAGGACCGGAGCTCCCGCAGGACGGCTGCCCTGTGGCATCCTGACCTGACCTGACCGGGACAGCCGAGCACCCCCCACAGGGACACACCAGCGACTGCTGCCAGGCACCCTCCCGACCCGGTCCCACCAACTGCCACTCGGGGCCACCAGACAGCAGGACCCACTGCCCCGCCCTACGCGCTCAAGGGAGGAAGCCCAAGCCCGGGCACAGGGCCACCCCCAGCGTTCCCAGGAAGTTGGGGCCACAGCCGCCACAGGGTCTGAGGTCTGACGGCTCCCTGGCCCTGCCCTGTGACCTCCATTTCCCCAACTGCAGGGGAGTCGGGGCAGGTCACGGCCCCAGCTCTGCAGAGCCTTGTCACGCGTGGGTCCCCTCCCCTGACAGTCCAGGAAAACCCAGGGCCCCATGGGGCACAGGTGGGGAAACTGAGACCTCAAGGAGGGCAGGACTTGCCCCGGGTGCATCAGCGGGCAAGGGCCGGCAGGGCCCTGACCGCATGTGGGGACAGAGGCAGAGCGGGGGGCTGCAGGGCCGGCCGCTGGAACGGCCACACGGGGGGAGAAGACAGGGCAGAGGAAGGGCACCCCTCGCCTTGCTGAGCTCAGCCGCACCTCCACCCAGGTCCCCCCTGCAGACCCCCCCAGACGTCCCAGGCTGCCCTGACAGCAGCGACCGCCCCCAGGGCGGCCCTGAGCACCCTGCCCGAGCCCGGCCTCCACCTCCACTAAGGAAGAGCATGACCGGCGGCCGCCGGCCTCAGCGGCTCCCCAGGGCTGCATGGCCCCCCCCACCACAGCGGGGCCTCACCCCCACAGCAGGGCCCCCAGAAACAACCCTGGCCCCGTCTCGGGGGCCCTGGCCCTAAGCCACCACCACCCGTGCACCCTCAGAGGAGGCCCACCGTGCCCCCGCCCCGGGAGAGCCGTTTGCTGTGGGAGGGCAGGTGGGGGCCCGCGGCCCCTCGCCCGCCCCTCGGGGCCTCGCCTCCGGGCTCCCGGCCCCAGGCCCCACTCCACGTGCTGGTGACAACCGGCAGGCCTGTTTCCTCCCCTGACAGGAGTGGGCACGTTGACCCCAGGTCAGGAGGGTGACCAAGCTCTCCTGCCCCCTTGCACTGCTGGAGGGCCCTTCTCCGCGGCGGGTGCAGGGAGGGGCGGGTCCGCCCACCTCCGGGGCCTGACCACTCCCCACGTCCACTGCCTTCCTTTTCAGCACACACCCTGCGCCACCCACCACACGACACCTACGGCTGCCGGCGCTGGGCACCCTGGCCTCCCCTGCCCCGCGTCCTGTGCCTGCTCAGGGCCCCGGCGGCACCCACCCCCCTGCCGGCGCCTGGCTTCCAGGGTGCCCCTGCACTCTGGGCCTGGGCCTCCCCATCCCAGAAGCCCCTTGCAGAGAACAAACTCGGGGTGACCCTCTCTGGGTCACACTCCCACACTTGCCCCAGGCTAGCTGCCCCTCCCAGTGACCCCTGATGCCCCCACCAAAATGAGGTGGGGGGAGCCAGGGCCCAAGAGGAAGGGGTGTGCGGAAAGGTGGGCCTGGGTTTCTAGGCTTCTGGTCTTAACTGGACTGCTTGCCCACGAACACCGAACGCAGCCTCTTCCTGGAGGCCACACCCCCCCACTCCCAGGTGTGGCAGGAGGCCTGGCTCAGGGAGAAGGGGGAACAGGGAGCCGCTGGCGTCCTCTCTCCAAACAGCCGTCCAGCCCAGCCAGTGCAGCCCTAGGCCTGGCTGAGCTTGCTCCAGCCAGGCCAGGGGCGACACTTGCCTCGGCCACAGCCCAGGGCGGGTTGGGCAGCAGCTTTGTCCCCCGCCTTGGGGGCAGGAGCCACCCTGGGGCACCAGCACTGCTGGCACTGGGCTCAGGCACCTCCCGTTGGAGCAAAACCAACCCACCCAGCAAAAGTTATGGAAGCCCCCTCAACACACACCGCATTGGGGCGGGGGGGCGGCAGGCGCCCGGGCACCCACACACACTGGGTGGCCCACCCCGCCCCAAGGTCCTGCTCCGTGTCTGACCCACGGAGCCCTCGGTGGACACTCCCTCCCTCCCTCCCTCCCCACAGCACCTCGAGAGGGCAGGGGCTACCTCACCCCACAGCCCTCAGAGGCCTGCCCCCAGCGCCTGGGGGGCAGCCCGCTGGGTAGGGAGGGTGGTAAAGACGGAGCCTGGGGCTACAGGGAGGAAGGGGAGGGGACAGAGCAGGGGCGCAAGCACACAGACCAGGACGCGGACCCCTGGCAGGTGCGGCTCAGCGCTCCGGGCAGCCCCACAGGGCCCGCCGGGGTGGGACCCATCCCGTCTCAGGAGCGGAGAGGGCGCGGGGCGGCCGCCCAGGCGGAGAGGCGCGGCCGGACTCTCCCCGCTTCCCCTGCCGGAACCGCCCCCCATTGGCAGGTCCAGCCAGCACAGCAGTGACCCCGAGGACCACCCCCTGGCCCGCCATCTGCGACCCGTGTGTCCCGCCCCGCTCTGGCCGGGCCCCCATGATCGCCGGCGATGCGGTCCCGGCAGCCGGGCGGCCGCCACTCACCCAGAAGAGCAGGTTGAAGGCGAACATGAGGTACTTGACGCCCTGGAGGCAGCCGCGCGCCATGCCGCAACGCTTCAGCTCTAGGAGGAAGATGAAGGACAGGTCCAGGTAGAAGACCACGTACTTGGTGCCCTTGGGCGACGTGTAGCGCGCCTGGGCCGCTTTGGGGCCGGGGTTGGCGTGCAGACCGAAGAAGGGGCCGCCGGCATCCCCGCCGTCCCCGCGCCCGTACAGGCTGCTGTAGCGCCGGAAGGGGCCGCCGCGCGCGAAGCCCGGCTCCTTGCCCTGCGGCGACGGGCTGCGCCGGTACGTGGACTCGTCCGTGCTGGAGCGGCGCATCGCGCTGGGGCTGCCGCCAGGCTCAGCGCCCTGCGCCCGCCGCCCCTGAGCCCCGCATCCGCCGGCCGCCCAGCTCCACGCGCCCCCTGGCCCCGGCCCCCAGCCGGCAGCCCCCCCGCACCGCTGGGCTCGGCCCCGGCGGCGGGTCCCCGGCACCTGCCCGCCTGCCAGCCGCAGCCCCCGTGTCGACCCCGCAGCCCCGCCCCGTGCCCACCCGCCAATCCGCGCCCGCCCCGCCCCTTGCGGACCCCTCCCCGCCCCGCTGAGCCGCCCGGCAAATCCGACCGCTCCAACGCGCCGGCCAATCCCAGCCCCGGGGCGACGCCCCCGCCCGGCCCCTCACCAGGCGCCGGCGCCCCTCTGGTTCCCCTTTCCCTGCGCGCCTGGGAGGAAGATGTGGAGCACTGGGGAAGCGTTGGAGGGGGCTGGGCGCACAGGGTGCAAGGGGCGGGGGGCTAGTCCCACGCAGCTCACAGCCCCAGAACAGCGCCCCCGGTCTTCCCCACGGCCCCACTGTGTCGACCCCCAACCGCACCGATATGCAATGAAAGAGTGACCCAGTTGCTTTCGGGTGGCGACTTCGGGTGGCTCCGGCTTTGGTCCTGGGCCCAGGTCTCCAGACCAGAGCAAGGGAGTGAGTGTAGCCCAACACTTCTAGGGGTGCGCCCTGTCCGAGCAGCCTCTCACCGCCACCCCGGGCTTGGCGGGAGGGCTGCGCTGGGACCCCAAACCTCCCTCAGCACACAACTTGGGTGGGGAGGGGCTCCTGTGGAGACAGGGTGCGGGGTCAACCTGGGGTACCCGTCCTGGGGAGACAGTGGTTGGGGAGACAGAGCTTCAGTTCAAAAGAAAAGCCCCTGAGAGGGGCAGGGTGAGAGAGGGCACGTCGGGAGGGTGCTCTGGGGAGCCCTGGGCCGCGCGGGCAGGCGGGTCACTGTACCAGGCGGCTCAGGGAAGTTCTCAGACTTAAGGAGCGGGACTGGAGCACACGGGCTCAGGAGTGACGGCTGGGGACCCACAGACAGGCCCAAGGGGAGGCGGGCGGCCGACTGCAGGGCCCAGAGGCCACCGCGGGGCAGCACCCCGCTCCCGCCCGCCAGGCGCACTGAAGCCCCGTGGCCACCGTTTTGAAATTCTTGGTGATCTTTGATCAAAGGGCCCCGACTTTCGTTTTGCACCAGACCAGGCTGGGAGTCAGGCCCCAGAAAGGTCCTCACGCGCCTGCGGACACGGGCCCAGGCCAGGCTCACAGGTGCCAGGACCACTTGCACGCCCCCCGCGTGTGCATGAGTGCCCCTTGCACCAACGACGGGCACACCGGCTGCGCACACGCACCAGGAACAGCCGCGCAGTGCCCACACAGGCCCACACCCCCCAACGGGGACCGCTGCCCCCTGTATCGGGGCGGACGTCGCGGCCTCCAGGCCCAGGGGAGCTGCGCAGCTGCCAGTATGAGCCCTGGGCGCCCCTTCCTGTCGGGCCTGCAGCCCCTCCCCGACCTCAGGCAGGAGAGGGTGTGCCCTGCACCCTGGGCTTGAGAATGTGGCCGAGGCCCGCCTGGCGGCGTCTGCCCCCAGGGCAGCCCTGCGAGGACTCCCTTAGGGTCCCCGAGAGTCAGTCGGGCAGCACTGCTGAGGGCGGGGGAGGGGGGAGGGGGGACCAGAGAGGAGAGGAGGAGAGCGGGGGAGGGGTGCCCATGGCACTGTGACAATTTGAGAGGTCGGCATGCAGCAGCAGCTGGGGGCTGCCGCAGGGCCATCTGGACTGGACATCGGGGCTCCCCTCGGGACCACCAGCACCGGCCCGCCGGGCCCCCGCGGGCTCGTCCACAGGGGGCCCCTGGAGCAGAGCCGGCCCTCCTGGGGCTCCCCATGGCCCTTCTACCCCATCCCCGCTGGGCCCCAGGAGGACACAACCGTGCAGGCCCCCGGGGCGGGAGGAGAGGCAGGCAGGGGAGACCCCCAGGGCCCTGCGGAGACCGCTGTCCACAGCTCTGCCCAGGCAACCAGGCGCAGCCAGTGACCTCTCGGGGCTGCAGCGAGCCCCAGGGGCCTCTGGCCACCTCCCCTTGGCCCAACCAACTTGGCCAGCCCGCAGGCCCCCGCCAAGGGTGCGCTCAGGCTCCTGGGCATCCCTGCGCACGGCAGCGTGTGGGGGCGAGCTCCGAGCCCACGCAGGGCCGGGAGGGCTGGGGGAGGCCCAGCAGACCAGGAGACCCCCGCCCATCACAGCAGGCACAGCACCCCACCTCCCAACCCCCCCCCCGGCCCCGCCGCAGGAGCCCGCCGCCAGCCCCAGTGACTGAGGGCCCCAGCCAGCCTCGCCCACGTGGCGCCCCTGCAGCCCAGGGCCGCACTAACCCAGGGCGGGCTCCTTGTCTTCATCTTCCTTGAAGGCACTGGGGCCAGAGGTGGGTGGGGAACGCGGGGCTGGCGGGGCCTTGAGGACAAGAGGGAGGTCCCGGCGGCTGGGCTGCGAGGGGCAGTGGGGGCGTCAGCAGGGTCCCCTCCCTGGGCCCAGCACCCAGGACGCCCTCCGTCCCACCCCGCTTAGCCAGCGCCGTCCCTGGGTCCGCTGAAAGTCCTGCCATGCCCGCTCCCAGCTACAAAACCCAACGCCCATCGCGCCAGGTGAACAGGTGTGTCTGAGATGAAGCCAGAAAACCCAGCCCAGCACAATAGGCTCAACTGGAGTGCGGACCAGGTGCACCAGGACTGTGGCCGACGGGGCCTTCCCCAGGAACCCTGTCCCCAAAGCCCAGCGCCTCCCCCGCAGGAGCCCCCTTCCTCCAGCAGGTGGGGCCCCGACCCAGCCCGCTCAGGAGGCAGCCTCTGGCTCGTCGCCTGCGCCAGGCCCAGCAGTACCCAGACGGCAAAGGCCGGGGGCCAGGAGTGGGTGAACCCAGGAAGCAGCCAGATCTGCTCCCCACTGCCCGGCCAGGCTGTGAGGTGCCTGGGCTTTCCGCGGAGAGAAGTGAGGCGGCACAGCGTTCCCGAGGTGGCCCTTGGGCGGGCCCTGGCCAGTGGGCGCTCTGCGGAGGGAAGGCTGCCCCATCCCTGCAGACGACCTGAGGCCCACCCCCACCTCACTGGGGGGTATGGACAGCACCTGCCCCAGGGGAGTGAGGATGGGCCTGGGCCAGGGGCCCCCAGCCCCCCCCCCCCCCGGCTGTCCTGATGCCCTGGGAAAAATTGTCTGTGGAGGAGTTTCAGGCCCAGGGTATCAAAGGCAAGTGGACCTGCCCCTCCCCCATCTCTGACGAGCCCCCTCCCCAGGGCTACAGAGCCCAGAGCCCACAACGTTTCAGAAGCTAAAAACCATGTGTCCCACCACAGGCCACAGGCTGGGCCCGTGTGCCCCACCCCCAGACCAGGAAGGGGTGGGGGTCACCGCCTGGGCGTCCTTCACGCCCTGCGGCCCTTCTGGGCCCCAGGCATCAGGACCGAGGCCAACGCCACAAGGAGACTGCGCCCCCAGCCCCACCCACGGCAGCCCCGAGCCCTCTGGGAACGACCTCCGGGTCCAGGCCTTCCAGCCCCCACGCCACCTGGGCAGCTCACACACAGCCCTGCAGGCGGCATGGGGGCAGGCGCAGGACGGGACCAGGGCCACTCCCCTCCCTCAGCCAGGCCCAGCCACCTCCTCCAGGAAGCCTCCCTGCCCCACTCCCCACCCTGGGCTTCCTTTGAGGGCAAGAACCCACAGACCTGTGTCCCCCAAGACAGCACACACGGCAGGCAACAGGGACAGCGCCAAGGGAGAGCCCAGGACAAACACCCGCCTGCCAGCCCGGGCTGGGCTCCGTGAGGGACCCCGGGGCACTGTGAGCCGCACAGAGACTGCGGGCACCTACCTGGGCAGACCAAGGCCCACTCAGAAGAGGACCTGCCCCAACGCCGAAACAGGAGGCCTGGGTGGCAGCCGGGTGATGGACTGCCAGTGGCCCGCCCAGGGCCCCAGCGGTGGCCTGCAGCAGGGCCTGGCCAAGCACACAGCCCAGCAGGGGCCGAGCAGGGTGGGGAGCAGGCCAGGCGGCTCTGAGGCAGCCCTGAGGAGCCAGCAGGGAGGGCCCAGCCAACACAAACAGGCCTGTGGCGTCGCCTTCCCCTGCTCCATCCTGCGCCCACCCAGGCCCTGGCCTGGGGGAGGGGCTCGCAAACGCGGGTGGCACCCCCTCCACACCACAAGCAGGGCCCAGGCAGGGCTGTCTCCCCACGCAAGCCACAGCCCCCGGGGCTGGGAGACACCCACTCCAAGGGAGGGGTCCCCGGAAGAGGCCGCCAAGGGCCTCCTTTCTCCCATTGGGCCCACCCAGGCCATCCCAAGCTCAGGGCTCCCCACGCACCCCATCCCCACTGCTGCCCCCCACCCTCAGGTACTCCTCTGCCGGAGGCCACACAGGAGGCAGAGGTGGAGGGGATGCAGCTAGGGCTGGAGGGGGAGAGGAGGGCGCCTTCCCACCTACCAAGGCCCTGGGAGCACCCTGACTCAGACGCCCCTTGTATGCTCACCCCACCTCAGCAAACTCCCCTGTGCCACCCGGACTCCTACCGAGCAGGATCCTCAGGGACCCACAGGCCGCTGGGCTGGGCCAGCAGACAGCGACCTTCCCACACGCTGTGGGCCCAGGTGCCCCCACAGGCGGAGGGCCAGTTCGGGAGCGAGCACACCTGCGAACCCCAGCACTCCTCGCTCGCCGGCCCCCAGGGCTGGGTGTGGGCGCAGCAGGCGGCGGATCGGGTTGGCTCAGGGGACCCCACCCCGCTCTGCGCGCCCTGTGCGAGCACACATGTACCCACAACCAATGTGGCCGCGGCCAAGCCTGGGTCCCCAAGTCTGCACAGCCAGCCTGGGGAGGACCCCAGCCCGCGGCTTCGGAGGCCCGGCCGGTGGGCGGGGCCTGTTTCCAGGACAACGATCAGGGCTAGAGTCTCAGCAGCTAAAACTTCTGATTTCCCCTTGTCTCCTTCCTGCCCTCAAGTGACCCCTTCTGGCAGGGAACATGGCTCCTGAGTTCCAAACCACATGTAAGCATAGTTCTCTCTCCTCACGCCCCCGATCTCTGGGAGCAGGACACGGATTCTTGGAAAACCTGCGCCTCGCCCTGCGGCCCTCCCCGGAGGCTGGGCCGCTCCTCTGCTGCCATTGCCCCCTGAGGCTGTAGGCAAGGAGCACGCCCCCCACCCACCAGGGCTCCCTCCTGCCCCCGGCCACCCAGAAGAGAGCCTGGCTCTCACTTGAGCTTGCTCACCCGCAGCCCGCGCTCCACACACAGGGCCACTCAGGGCCAGGCTGTGGGGGCAGGGCTGACCTCGGAGGCTCCGCGGGGTCCTGCCGTCCAGCCGGGGCGGAGGTGAGCTGGGAGGCCTGGCTGCCCCCCCGTGCCCCTAGCGGCCCCCGCGCCCTTGTGTGTGGTAGCCAGGCACAGGGGCTGGGGCAATGGGGCAGCCACCCTGCTCCCCATGGCCTCTCCTGGGAAATTAGGGAGCCGAGGGGCGGAGCCGGGGATGAGGAGGACGGTGCTGCTGCCCCCAAATCTACGTACAGCGCTCAGAATTCCAGGAACGCCAACTTGGCTCCAGGCCGGGACCAGGACGGGAGGCTCCCTCACTCTTGCAGAGTAAACAGCTGGTGGGGGCAGGAGCCCTGGTGGGGCAGGCCCTGGGCCCCTCCTCCAGGAAGCCTTCTGCCCCCACCCACTCCCCAAGGTCCACCCAGCGAACATCCCGGCCGCTCTCCCAGTCTCCCCCTCACCTCCACAGCCTCCCGCAGCCTCTGGAGCTGAGCCTGGGTCTGACCCCGGGCCACTGTGACTCAAGGCCCCTATCCTGCCCCTCTGGCCAGGAACAGGATGTGCGTCCAGTGGGGGGGGGGGGGGGAGTGAGGGGTGTCAGCAAAGGGAAGTGGCTTTGGCTCGTGGCTCTGCACGTGGCAGGGTGGGGGATGGCAAATGCCATTGGAGAAGCGGTCCAGAGCTCAGGCAAAAGCAGAGGCACAAGTTCCAGGCAGGCAGCAGCTCCGGCCAGCTCGACCCTGGGCTCAGGGCACCCTGGGCCTCCCTGCCTCCCGGCTAATGTCTGAGAGGACAATTAGCCAACACCTGGGACCGAACCAGAGCTCCAGATACCCCAGGCCAGCGAGCCTGCCCTCGCCCAGAGCCGTGGTGCCACCAGCAGCACATCCACACCCGACAGCCCGAAGCTCCCCCCTGGCAGGGGGCCTTCCCTGCGCAAAGCCTGCCCCCAGCCCCAGCCCCAACATCACGGGGCTCACACCCCCCTCCCATTTCCAGACACACAGCCTCCCCTCCCTTTAAATCCTCCGTGTTCCTGCCCCATCACCTCGGGCTCCACCACCTACCCTGACCCTCACCCAAACCGGTCTCCTAGAGCCACCCGGCAGGTACGCGCCCTCCCGGCCTCTGCCGAGGCGCTCTGCCAGGATCTGCCCTGGTCCCCACACACTCAGGGGTGACACCGTGGGCTCCGCGGGGGTGAAAAGGCGCCTCTCGGCGACGCCCTCCCTGGCCACCCTCTCCGCCCCGCTCCCGCCCTCGGATCGCGGGGACCCGGCACAGTCTGGCCTGGGGCAGACGCAGGCCCATTCCGGCCACTCGCCCCCAGCCCCCGCCCCGAGAAGGAGGGACAAGGCGCGGCCGGGGCTGGGGGCTGGGGGGGCCACCGGCTGAGCGCGCCCTCCCGCCGTCGGGGCTACAGGTAACTAACTCCCGGGCCGGGGCCGATATCGTGCAGACGAGCGGGCCGGGCGGTTCCCCGAGGGGACCCCAGAACTCAGCCGCAGAGACCCTCGGGCGCCCGCGGGCCGGAGCTCCTGGCGAGTGACTCCCTTCGCGGATGGCTGGGGACGGCGGCGGGAAGACGCGCCCGGGGCCGCCGGTCAACCCCTCTCCGCCCTGCTGCGGGGTCGCCCCGCCACTTGTTGCTGCGGCGCGGCTCGGCGCTAAGCCTCGGGGCTCGAAGTCCACGCCGGTTCGCTCGGGTCCGGACCCGGGTCGGCCCCAGCTCGGGTGCCGCGCGCGCCGGGGCTCGGGCGGCATTCCCGCAGGCGGATGCCGTACCTGCGCGCGCCGTCGGCCCGCCGCTCAGCTGTCAGTCAAGCGACCACGAGAAACGCGAACCGCTCTGCCGAGCCCTTTAGGCCCCGCAAGGACGCCGTCCGCCGGGACGTACCAACGCTGCGGGCAGGGGCCGCTGCCTGCTCGAGCGCGGCCGCGCGGGCCCCGGGACCCCAGCCACGCTCGTAGGAAGCTCGTCGCAGCGGACAGCGAAGGCTCACCACGCCGGGGGCTGGCCGGCAGGGCCGGGGGCAGCTGGGGGCGGGGGCGGGCACCCCCACGCCCTGGGTGCGCCCGGGGCGGGGCGGGGCCTGAACCGGAGTGTGGCCTGGGCCGGAGCGCAGCCGCGGAACAGCTATCGCCATGATCATCCCCGTCCGCTGCTTCACGTGCGGCAAGATCGTCGGCAACAAGTGGGAGGCCTACCTGGGGCTGCTGCAGGCCGAGTACACCGAGGGGTGAGGCACCGGGCTGGACGGGCGAGGGCCTGCTGTGCAGGGGGAAGCGTCCCTGGGCCTTCCTGCGGGGCTGGGGCGGAAGTGGGGGCCGGGGCCGGGGGGAGTTGCCTCCGCCTACGGAGCAGAGGTTGGGGCCGGGACGGGGGTAGGGGGCCCGGCCCACGGAGCAGAGGTTGGGACCGGGACCGGGACCGGGACCGGGGGTAGAGGCCCGGCCTGCGGAGCGGGGGCTGAGGTCGGAGCACAGACGAGGAGTAGGGGGTGGGTGGATAGAGGTCTGGGTCTGCGGGGGGGGGGGGGCGGGGGGGATCCGATTCCAGTTTACCCTGCGAGGGCTTTCAATCCCAGCGTCTCTTACAGCCCTCCTCTCGGGAGGGCGCTGCCCGCCCCACCCTCGGAAGTTTGGAGAAAGGAGGGAGTTGGGTATCAAGCCAACGGTGTGGGGGGTTTCTAGGTACTCTCTGATCAGGCCCGGGGGCCTCTCCACCGCAGCTGAGCCCTCGGCCTCCTCCCTGCCCACCTGCTTCTCATCTCTTCTCTCTGCTCTTGGGTCCACCCCCGTGACCTGCAAGCCCCCTTGTCTTTTCGGATAGGACAGCTTCTTGACCACAGAGCTGTCAGCAGGAGGCTCCTGCCTTGTCTGTTTCTGCGCTTGGCCCTGTGCTCACAGCCTGACTGTATTTGCACCCCCAGGGCCTGGCGTGTGCCGGCGTACTCCAGGCTGTCAGCGCTGGCGTGGGAGGGAAGGGGAAGCGTGGATGGGCTGAGTGTCTGTGCCAGACCCCAGGAGGCTGCTGGAGTGACAAGAGCAAGAGCCTGGGGGGCTGGTAGGCTGCACAGGACCCCTCTCGGCAGTGCCACAGGCAGGGACCTCCCAGCCTGGCCTCCCCTTCCCCAAGATGCCCTCTCTACATGTTGGGGCCCACAGTGTGAGGATTTTCTGGAGGCCTCGGTGAATGGGCTGGGTCCCAGGGAAATAGGGGGCTCTGACTGGCTTGAGAAATGGGCCAGGAGGCTCTCTGGAGAGACATCCCCCTCCCTGATGTGGGAGCAGAGCTGAGGGGAGATCGACAGCACCCGAGAGGGGTTGAGAAGAACAAATCACACCCTGCTCCCTCCCGCCTGCAGGGATGCCCTGGATGCGCTGGGCTTGAAGCGCTATTGCTGCCGCCGCATGCTGCTGGCCCACGTGGACCTGATCGAGAAACTGCTCAACTATGCGCCCCTGGAGAAGTGACCCTGTGGACTGCGGCTGTGTCTGGGCGGAGCTGGTCTGGTGGGGGTGTGGGTAGCCGGAGGCCACGCCTGCCCCAGCCATGGGGACCAGTGTCCTGCTCTGGAAGGAACTCTCCAGTAAAGGCCTTTGCAGAACGAGAGGAGGTCCTGACACTTGGTCTGGCTTTCTGGGACCCACCGCCACCCGTGTCCCTGTGTTTTGCCTCATGCCTGAGGCTACTGAGCTCTTGCTTTGCTGCCCGGGAGGAGGGAGAGCCATCCCCACAGCAGCTGCTCGGCCAGGGCGTTCCCGTCTGGAGGGGGTGTTCCCACAGCCCCATAGAGACAGGCAGCTGAGAGCACTGGGGCGCTGGCATCGCCCCTCCACGTTCTGGGTGCTCTTCAGGCAGAGCACCGAGGTCCCCGATTTCTCTCTTGGGATTTGAAGAACGAGGTTTTCTGGGCCCTGGATAGAGTATCTGCTGCTCCTCCTGCGTGTCCACATGAGCTCGGAGGCCTCCCCCTGCCCAAGTTGCTGCAGAGCAGAGGGGCAGCGCCTGGCCTCCACCCCCACCCTGAGGCCCCCCGCAGATCGCAGGTGGCTCAGAGGGTCTGCTGGGGGGCAGGGCTGGCCAGGGCCCCGGGCTTAGCGTGTTGTCCTGTGGGCCCCCCGGCAGAGCTGTGACCGTGCAGAGGCCACACAGGCCCGGGGGCCCTCTGCAGCAGGAGGCAGACGCGCAGCTCAGGAAGGCAGCTTCTCCAGCCATGCTGGCCGGGTATCTGAGATGGAGTCTGCCCAGTGGAAAGCCCAAGCTCTGGGGACGGGAGCTAGGCAGCCACCAGGGCAGAGGTCCAGTGGCCAAGCCCTGGCTCCAGTTCACAGCGCACACCCTGCCAGACCCTGGGCCTGACACATGCCCTGCACATGGCCGCACCCAGCGGGTGTGAGGTTCTGCCACTAGGCCTGTGCTCAGCTGCCCAGGCCACCATCCTCCTCCCCTTGAGTCCTGTCAGCTCCTTGCTCACACCTGCCTGCCCTGGACCCCCAGAACATGCCCTCCTTTGTCATGGTGGTGGGGGGTGGCCCTGTGCTCCCTGCTGGGCAGGAGGGCTCTGAGGACCAGAACCGCCTCTCACCGACGTAGTGAGTCCACTGTCTATTACGCAAATGTTTATTGGACACCTGCTATGTGACAGGAGCAGTTCTAGCATCTGTAATACAGCAGTGAGTGACCCCCCAACCCCTGTCTCCAAGGAAGGAGGGCAGCAGGGAGCATTGTGGCCTCTTCGGGGATGGTGAGAGCAGTGGGGAGGCGGCGGGCTCAGCAGAGAAGGGCAGCTGGGACCAGGGGTCAGAGAGGCACGGGACCCTGGGGACAGGGCTGGCTGGCTGGCCGGGCCCCAGGGGGCGGGGTGGCGAGGGCATGGGCATGGTCACCCAGCCTAGGGGAGGACACACGAGCGCCTCCGTGGCAGCTGATCCGTATCCCCGGCCCCCCCCCCCCGCACCACCCCTCCGGGGCCTGCCCGGCCACCATGCAGGCTGTGGTGGCACCTGGCGCCGGCCAGCCCAGCCCATTCTCGCCTGGCCAGCCCCCAGACCAGCCCAGCCCTTCGGCTAAGCACAGGCATCAGAGTGCAGCCCGAGGTCCCAGGACCCCACAGGGAGGTGGCCTGTGGGAATGGAGCACGTGATTGTCAGAACCTCATCACCCCACCTGCGGCCCAGGCCCCCCCCACCCCC